ATATATATATATATATATATATATATATATATATATTATATTTAGTATTAAGGCCAGATTTGTGTGATATATAGGAGTTGCTAGTTTTCATGAATTTATATAAGTCATCAAATAACTTGGGTTAAAAACAGAATCCATATAATTTTGTATAACATAGGAAAATGGAGAATCTTTCATTCTTGCAAGTGACAACTTTAATTTACTCTATTTTACTAACAGAGAATATCAAGCTTTAAATTTAATAAATATCATAGAAGACTAATAAAATTTAATCAGAAGGAATTTTTACCAAATGTATAAATGTATATTATATACAAATGGACATTGTATGCAATGCTGACATTGACACCAGCTCTTTGTATCTGAAATACCACGTCAATGTGGACATTGATTTTTTTTTTTTCATTCTGAATAGCTACATAGTGATCATTATCTCAAAAGAAATATCAATGAATTTTGTCTTTGGGCTTCCTTCAGCAAAGAACTCACAAAGCAAGTACTGGAGCCCAACTTACCAAATCTACTACAAATTCAAACTGTCCACAAACCATTGTTAGAAAACTACATTCCTAAAAATGAACTATTGGAACCTTATCACGATAAAAAGCTTCTGCACTGCAAAGGAAACAATCAACAAAACTAAAAGGCAAGTGACAGAATGAGAGAAGATATTTGCAAAGTACATATCGGATAACAGGCTAGTATCTAAAATCTATAAAGAACTCATCAAACTGCACACCCAAAAAACAAATAATCCAGGAAAGAAATGGGCAGAAGACATGAATAGACAGTTTTCCAAAGAAGACATCCAGGTGGCCGACAGACACATGAAGAGATGCTCAACGTCACTCCTCATCAGGGAAATATGAGTCAAAACTACAGTGAGATATCACCTCATGCCAGCCAGAGTGGCTAAAATGAACAAATCAGGAGACTATAGATGCTGGTGAGGATGTGGAGAAACGGGAACCCTCTTGCACTGCTGGTGGGAATGCAAACTGGTGCAGCCGCTCTGGAAAACAGTGAGAAGGTTCCTCAAAAAATTAAAAATAGAACTACCCTATGGCCCAGCAATAGCACTGCTAGGAATCTACCCAAAGGATACAGGAGTGCTGATGCATAGGGGCACTTATATCCCAAGGTTTATAGCAGCACTTTCAACAATAGCCAAACTATGGAAAGCACCTAAATGTCCATCAAGTGATGAATGGGTAAAGAAGATGTGGTTTATATATACAATGGAATAGTACTTGGTAATGAGAAAGAATGAAATCTAGCCATTTGCAGAATAGAAACCCATTTGACAATAAATTATATTTAAAATAAATAAATAAGCTGGGGATAAAAAAAAAAGAAAGAAAACTACATTCCTTTTTGCCATTTAAACTTTTTTTTCAAGTTTATTTTTTATTTGAGAGAGAGAGAGAGAGAAAGCACCCATGCGCCAGCATGGGAGGGGCAGAGAGAGAGGATTACAAGCAGGCTCCATGTTGTCAGCGCAGAGCCCAATGTGGGGCTCAATCCCACAAACCATGAGATCATGACCTGAGCTGAAATCAAGAGTTGGACTCGAAACTGACTGAGCCACCCAGGCGCCCCCTTTTTTGCCATTTTAAATGTCTCAGAGTACACACCAACTGTTGCCTGACTCAGCTTTCCTGATGCCATTGAATATCCTTTCTCTTTGTGTACAAAACTGAGGGCCCTGAAGTTGAGTATCTTTTTTTTCAAAATGACTCTTTTCCTGTTCCTGTGTGCTCCTTCTGAGTTTGCTATGAGAATATATACATTCTTTTCCAAAATTTTTGTAGTATGCACTTGGGGCTAAGCAGCAGCCTGGTTACTCTGTCAATGGTTCTAAATTCCATTCTTCTAAGTGCATGGCAAGTCCTTACTGTGCCGTTGCTATAACCCTTTCCAGTGTGTCTGTGTCCCTTACCATTTTGTTTGTTTGTTTGTTTGTTTCTCTACCACTTCCTCTCTCATTCCACTTCATCTTCCCTAAAATATGAAGGAGAAGGAAGGAATATAATCATATCAGGAATAAATGATTACATTTCAAGGATATAATCATTGAAGACTTTCATTACAGAAACACAAGGTTAATTGAAGGTGGAGATGTCAGAAACCGTTCCAGTTCCTTTGGGTTTCCAACCTCAGTTGTGTCTACCCAAAGTACTTTTCCACTCACAACTTCTCTCTCTTTAATTTTCCTTTTACCTATTTTTGTGTCTCTTATGTTTACTTTGTTTATTTTTCTCTTCTCTCATTAACTAGTAAGTTTGTGAAAGTCTTACTTTCTTCTTTGCTTCACCACTAAAATTTTACCAGCTCATTTTATTGAGTTAATTTCAGTATTTATTGAGTGATAACTGTCTACTGACATCTTACAAGTGGGCTTTCATCATAACCATTTCCTTAAAATAGTTGTCAGCATAGTCAAGCCTTATATTAAATCAAGTGTCATTTCCAGCATCTTAAATATTTCTCCATATATATTATTGTTGATCATCTCATTTTCTTTAGTGTGGATATGTGTGTGTATATATGTGACGATTACTGGATGCTGATTCTCTCTTTGTAAGAATTTCTTCAGTTTTTATTCTGTCCCAGTTCTTTTTTCAGAGGCCTATTAGCTATAAATTAAAAACAAACAAACAAACTCTCTTGAGATATTACTCTTTCTTAGTTGATACTTAAGGAACTTCTCAGATTAAGTAGTTTAGCATTTGTATATGGACTAATTTAAGACCTTTGTGGCTACCTCAAGCCAAAATTCAGAAAACTGAATAAAATAGATTTAACGTATACAGCTGTTCTCTTCATTTACGATGTGGATATGGGAAACATTACCATTCCGTTCACTTTGGTTAATGAGTTCCCACTTGTAAAATCTTTCACATGTTGAGAGCTCCCACTTGTAAAAAAAATTACCTTCGGTTTGAAGAATTCCTCTAAAATCTATCTTCCTCTTATTTGCCTTTTGTCATATTTGCAGATACCATAGTAATGGAGTAATCCACAGACTAAAGTGTCTTTAATGTCTTAGTGAGTACATTAAGATACAGCATACGCTGCCCCAATGGCTGTCAGAGTTGGCAGAAAAATTATTTTAATATTATATTAAAGTTATTAAATATTACAGAAAAACATTTAATATTGACAGACTTTCTCTTCAAAAAGTGATGTTAATCTTTAATTCAATAGCATAAATGATGTGAAATGCCCTTAATGTAATTCCAGGAGTAATGTATTTCGGCACTTAACAAGCTGAAAATTCTATAGTTTTCAAGGTTATGTTTTCTTCACAAGTTGATCAATTAACAAAGAATAGTGGTTTTTATTCTGTGGACCTGCATAAATACCTGTGTGTTGCTTATTAGAATGCATAATGAAGGTAATGATTATAGCCAATTCACATGCAACACCAGGTGATTATGTTAAAAATTGTTTTTAAGTAAACTGTTTTATTGAAATATGCTTGCAGAAGAGTTCACAAGCCCTCCATGCACAGTCTGATGAAATTTTGCAAGTATCCCTAACATGTAGCCAGTATGCAGATCAATAAATAAAACATAAAATAACCATAATTTGTGACATGTTTTTATTCTGTTGTGAAGAAATGTTTGATATGAAATTTGTGGTGTTTATTTTTTCACCCTGAAAAATACACTAAAAAGAAATCAACATAAACAATTATCCACATAACCAAAAAAAAAATGAGGTTTCAATGACAATATATTAAAGTGTTTTTAATATGGTTTTTATCATTTATTTTTATGAACTTTATTTCTTTGAAAATAACCTTATTGTAGCAATTCTGTATAGTGTGGTTATGTTAACTGTTGAGGGACAAATGTTCATTGTCTTGGGAAAACTTCTACTGTGTTAGTTGTTGTTGTTTGGTTTTATATTAAACTTCCAAAAAGTATAGGATGCCTCATAGGAGAAATCTTTTCCTGTGTAAATTCTGTGTTGTATTAAACGTGTCACCTCTAACCACTGTGTCCACTGTACGTTAGTGCAGTGAGATGTTTCCATGCCACATAGTCAGAGGGAGGCAGATTAATAGGGAGTTCTAGCTGGAAATTTCTTCCCTGTTATTGTTCTCCCTCAGCAGTTGATGGCTAAGTTAATTCTCTTTAGTTTTGTCATGCTCTAAAGCACACATTGCCAAGCAATGGTGAGCTTTATGAGGAAAAAAAAAGAAGCAATGGTGTCCATCAAAGTCCTAAAGTTGCATTTTTAAACTTTGGCCCGACCTGATGTGCCATTCAAAAAAGCTTCAAAAGATTATTTTTTTAAAGAAAGGTTCAATATGTCCCGAGGCTATCGGTTTTGAGTTAAACTGGGTGAAGTAGAAATATTTTACTCATCAGCTTTGCAGTCACAGAGTTTGCCTCAGCTAGAACAAAACTGCTGAGGCATTTAGAGAAAATTAACCCCCCATCCTGGCGGCCAGATGTGACTGGTTTCTGATGAATGCACATGAGTGGGCTGAAAAATCAGGAGACTGTGAAATTCCTGTCAGGTCCGTACAGTGCAGAATGGGCTATTGACTGCTTTCTATATTTCCCTCCATCATTCTTCTTGAACACTGCCATTAATTTCCTCTCCTACTCTGACTTGTGTTTTTGCCCCCTCCCTCTTCCCTTTAGCTCTGTCAGCTGCAAAGAAGGATACACAAGGTGTGGCAGAATCACTTCAAACTGGTGGTCCTCTGCGGCCATATGAGGCTGGCCAAGTTCCAGACAGACTCTCAAGAGAGTATTCAGAAAATATTAGCTGTGCAGGTAGGTGATTGCAGGGAAGTAGGAAAGATCATTCTGATCTAGATTGAAAAGCAAATGATGGGTAGTGTGATGAAGCATTAAAACCATATCCCATCAGAGTTTTATAAATTTTTAACCTCTTTAATAAACTGGAATTGCATGAAGGATGAATTCAGTAAGTTAGCATATATACCATGCATACTTTGGGGGAAAAGGGAGATTGAGCTTATTTTTCACAAACCTCAAAACAGATTTTTTATAAATATATTTGGTGTAAATATATATTTTCAAATCTTCAGGCTTTGCAGATGCCATTCAGCTGTTTAAGAGATACCGTCAACAGTTGCCTTGTGTTGCTTTTGTGTGAAACCTCCTTCAGTGAAAAGGACACTTATTTTTATTTTATTTAACTGTTTGCTTTCCCCTTCCATTTTGAAAGAGGCCCGTCCTCTTCAGCTTTGGAGATAACTGTCTTTGAAAAATAAGCAATTTGGGATTAGAATGTAACAATGGTTCCAGATACATGTGAGATTTGACTGTTTGTAGAAATTTTAGTGGATCACTTGTCTTTATTTCAAGACTCTGATCTGTTTAGAAACCCCTATTAACTATGTGAAGGCTATTACTGGAAAATTAAATTTTTAATTCATATTTTACTATTTGAAATGTCATAATATGCATAAAAAGTGAGTTCCCAAAGGAAAACAAACACCGCCTTGTTCTAGTAAAAGAAAAAAAAAAAGAAGTATCTATTCAATAAAATGAAATGCACACACTCTTTAAAACCACAATTTTCATAAACTTGCAGTGTAAACAATGCATGTTGAACCTAAACACACCAAGCCTTTTTCTAAATTTTAATTTAAATTTAAATTGTGTGTGCATTTCATGATTCTTTTGCCACAATTGAAGAATTTTGCATAACACTTCCAAAGCTGGTGGCTTTTTTTTTTGTCTTCTTCATTTTTACTGGTGGGTATTTTTGCTATTTTCCTCTGAGGATGTGTGTGTGTGTGTGTGTGTGTGTGTGTGTGTGTGTGTGTATCCCATTCAAAGTACATATATAAGGTGTATATAGACTCTATTTGCATACATATACTGTATATAAGGATTCCACTGATAATGGATTATAATAAAAATTTAAATAATAGAAATTTAGAGTTTTGAAAGGTAGAGCTTAAAGGTGTAGGTTGAATAGATATTCATATACAAGCTTGAGTATAAATTACAATTGCAGTATTTCTGAAGACAGTAGCACGTGTTTTTTCTCCTTAAAAGTCTGTTGACAGTACATTAAAAATTATGGAGTGACCGTGATCTGTGATTCCCTTTTAAATATTCAAAGGTAATTTTGCATGTTCTAATTATTATTTTAGGAAAATCTCATACTACTGCCTAAATGTAAACATTCTTAAAAATCTTACAAATGATAAACCCTCATTGTGAATTAGGATGTATTTCGAAATATTGAAAATGTCAGTAGAAACTTTCTGAATATTGGTAAAGTGAACTCTCAAATCATAACCTATAATACTCCTTACTCTAAGTTTTTATTAAAATTAACCCATACTTTTTTTTACCAAACTTGATTTTAAGTTACTTATTTTGATGGTTGTTATACAACAGTGGAAATGAAAGGTTAGAAATGATAGGTTGGTATCAGTAGGACAACTCAACTATTCTGCATTTAGAGAGACAGTGGCAAGGCTGGATTGTATATGGGGAACCTGAGGAACATACCTTAGTGGATTCTTATCTGAGGGAGATGCCTTTAATTTAGAATATTTCAACCTTGGCTCTTAATAGGAATATAAAAAATAAAATTTTCAGAATCTTGCCATAAAACTATAGAAACATGGGCAATCCTCTGAAAAACTCAAGTCCTAAACCGTCAACGTGGTACACAATGACCTTCATGACCCAATCCCTGCTAACCTCCCCAGCTTCATGAACCCTCTACACATTAGTTCCTTAGAGTCTATTTCAGCCACTTCAAAATTTCTCTAGTGTGAAACCTCTTGACTCCTTCTTCCTTTCCTGTGCCTAATGTCTTACCTCCTTCTGCAATACTCTTTACTGTACCTGTTAACGAACACCTGATTCAAATCAAACATCTCATCTACAAAATCCTTTCTGAGCACTTCCCCCACCTTCTTCTTCTTTGACCTCTTACTGTATTCTGTACATATCACCAAACCACAGTTTATTCCTACTGCTGTGCTTTTCTTCCTAGAAGATTCTAAGCTCCTTTAGAGCTTTACACCATCAGTGAAATTAGTTCAATTCTTGCTCAGTTGTTTTTCAGTGTGTATGATAGCAAGCCATTGAGGTTTTCTGAAAGTATCCCATGGCTATCTTGTTTTCACTCATTATATCAAAAATCTTTAAATTGGAACATGATAGAGTGATTTAATATGTTTGTAGAGTGAGTCTGCTGGTGTTAGTCTCTTTGTTTTGAGTCAACATGGCTAAAATTGCTTAACAAACCAGAGGCTATTGCCCTCTGTTTTCATATGATTTAGTAGCATGTCAATACTAGGAAACCTAACATTTTATATTTTGAAGGTAGTATTAAAATGCCATAAGATATTAGTAAATTATTTGATGAGAAAATCATCTGATGAATCTTTTGAAAAGTAAACTATATATAACTGATATTGAGCAAAAGCAATTCAAAATAGTGATGCATAAAAAAGAAACTTTGTTTCACCCTTGGGCTTGGAACAATTACTTGCAGGACTATCAGAAAAAAAAAGCATAATTGGTAAATCTGCAGATGGCAGAAAACCAGGTGGGCCATATAAGCTTTTGAATAACAGTGATCAAGCAGAAACCAGTAAGATGAACTATAGCTGAAATAAAGAATTTGTGTATTTGACATCAAAGCCATTTATTAAATATATATAAATATTTATACATATATATATATATATATATATATGGATTTTAGTTGACTGCAATTTTAATATGATCCAAAGTGAGCTATTACAGTCTTAAGACCAATGCCGTGTTCCAACTCTGACAAGCATATGAGACTTATTGAATCTGATAGTGTAGGGCATATTTTATAGTCCTAACCTCATATCTAAGCCCATTTAAAGTACTATTATTGCATTATTTTTCTCTTTTTACTTTTGATTTATTTAATATAGTGATATTTAATACCTCTTTGGTATCTCATTTGGAAAAAAGACTGGAGATTAACTCATTATTTAAATGAGAATATGATGTGGCAACAGAATGTTCATGTGATCTTAGACTTCATAGGCACAAATGTTTCATCTTGTTAAAGGAGATGATAGTTCCATTGCCTTTTTCCAAAAGTTGAGTATATCTGCAGTATTTTATACAGGTTTGGGAACTATAGTTTAAGGGCCATATTGATACAGTAGAGAGCAGTGATCTAATAAAAATCAGGGAAAAGGAAAAATATACAAATTTAGAATGTTTAATTATAAAAAGAAAAGACCTTAGAAAGACAAACATCTGAAGGATTAAGTGAACATTGGCACATATATATTTTGTTGACCTCCAGAGGGCAGTACTTGGACCCATAGTGGAAGAGGTTGGATGGTGAGTTTGGGCTCAAGAGGAATACACTCTTCAGAAGTATTTTTGTCCAAGCATGCACTGCTGGTGCTCCAGCAAAAGCAGTGCAGTGATTGAGGGAGAGCACACTGGCCAAGAGTCAGCCCAGAGAGCACCTCCTCAGGCTGTACTCCTGGAATGTTCACCTGACCTTCTTGCACAAACCTGTGTGTGTGGTCTGTATCCCTTCACCCACTAAAATGAGCCTTCTCCATTGAAAAGCATGTCTGGTTTGTTCATTTTTATCCTCTTAGCACCAACAATAGTTCTTGAAACATAATGACTCAAAATATTTGTTGAGTGAATTGATTATTATGTGGTTCATTATGTGGTGAAGTGGTTTATTACGATTCAATGTGATAACCTTAAAGGTTCTTTCAAGCTTTAGGTGCCTAGAACTCTGTATAGTAATAAACAAAAGCATTCTCTGGGTACTTTGCCAAGAATTTTGATGACACAGAAGTAAGGTGTTTAATCATTTCAGACATGTGCATGTGCATGTGCATGGACACACACAAACAAAATACATATAGGGACAGACCAATTTCTTATTTTTGGAAGAGAACTTTGCAAATTTTAAAAAGCCAGAAAAAAAATAACAGGATAAAAATCTAAATTCACTTGGTTAGAGGCTGGGAAGATGGTGGAGTGGGAGGACCCCTAAGCTCGCCTTTTCCCACAGAGACAACTAGATAACACTCACATCAGCTTGAATAACTCAGAAAATGACCTGAAGTCTGGCAGAAAAAACTCCACAACTAACATTAGGGAAGAGGCCACACTGAAGAAGGTAGGAGGGGTGAAGACGAGGTTTGGGAGTAAAACAGACCAGACCGTGGCTGCCAGCAGTGGGGAGGGTGCGGAGAAGGCCGAAACACAGACTATCACACCAGAGAGCCCTCAAGGGAAGAGGAAACCCCATAATTGGCTTTGAAAGCAAGAGGGACCAAATCTCATGAGTTTTTACAGTTACCAGGACTTAAAACCTGGGATTTTAAAAATCAGCCAGTAGAGATACAGCATGGAAGCAGCGGTTTGGAAAATACCAGGGACATACAGAAGGGAGAGTTATTTACTCATTTTAGAGCATGACCAGAGAGGCAATGATCAAGGGGAGACCTCTCCAGCAAGAAAGAAGCTAGAAGGTGCTATTTACCTCCCCTGCCCCCAATAATAAGCACAGGGCCACCTGTGGGGACCAGCATGACACCTACACTTGGCACTTGCTAACTAATTAGCTTACACCAAGCCCCATCCCCACACTTCTGTGGATTCACCTTTCCAGTCACTCTTGCCTCAGTCCCAGCCTTGCAGGTCCCCTCCCCCAGAAGACCAGCACAAATCCTACCATACATCATCTCCCAACTTAACCATTTTGTGGAACCTCAATTGAGGCAGCCACAGTAGCAGTGGCAGCAGCAGTGGATCTCATTTCATAAGCAGACTACCACATGCTTTTTAAAAATGCGCCAGGGACCCAACATTGCACACAACAGCAAAGAGAGTCTGTAAATGGCTAAACTGAAGGAAAAAGTGGCTAGGACACAACAGCAGGGCACATGCAACTCACATAGGAGACCCAAAGTGCCAGGTCCTAGGGAACAAGGGACATTGCACTACAGGACTCTATAGGCTGTCTTCTTCATAAAGCCATTACATTCAAGAGCAGGAGATGTAGCTGACTTTCCAAACACAAAGAAACAGACACGGAGAGAAAGGCCAAATAAGGAGACAAAGGAGTATGTCGCAAATGAAAGGACAATACAAAACCACATCAAGAGAACAAAGCAAAATGGAGGTAAGTAATATGCCAGATAGAGAA